GATCTAGGGATTCTGGATCTCAAGGGAAGTTACTCTTCTGTTGCTAATGTTACTGCCCATCTCTTATTGCCTTATGTCTACAGTCTCTGGGTGGCCAAGAAGGGGTGATTGTGGCCACTGCCCGCACTGAGATCCTTCCAGACTATCTTAACTGTCAACAGAAGTAACCTGAGACAAAATATAGGCCTGTGATTCTAACACTATTATTTTTCTTCTGCATTATTTCAACATCTTTGCCTGATGAAGAAGCCAATTAAGCTTTGAGAACTTGCATGGTGTATTTTGGTTGGCCAACAAAGTATCATTGTAATTTTGTTGTATTTTGCTCCATGTTCAACATGGCTGAATATATTTCATGGGTAAACGAGTATGTGAAGTGCTAATGAGAATGAACTGTTGTAGCTTCAGCCATTTTCAATGTTGTCTACCAACCCTACAGTTTATGTCCTCAACAGGTTTCCATGAAGGCAATGTAACCCTGTATTGTGGACTAAAGAGGGATAAAAGCTTTGTAGTAAATTAGCAGCATACGTATAGCCAACTAGGCTGAGGTGCCAAAGAAGAAACCATAGGTAGGCCCCAAGAAGAACTGTAATGTTGAATGATAAACACACTGAAACCCTGCTCCCTTTGTCAGAGGGGTGCTACACTAAATTAACGAAGATAATAAGAAAATGTGAAATGATCATTGTTTTTGTGACTCTTGACAACATTAGATGCACTTCAGTCAGCACAGGGTAGGTAATTCATTGTGTGAACCAACATTTCATATTATATTAAATATCTATGGAAGGTGATATGGGTAGATGATGCGTAAAAGACTTGCAACACCAATTCTGACTGGCAGCACCAATTTAAGATGTCAATCATTGACTTTTCCCAAAGTATCTTCACTACCTAAAGACCCTTCTAGCTATAGATACCAGGAACTGAACCTGGTCATTCTGTATATAATGCAGATGATCTACCACTAAACTATAGTTTCTTCCAAAGCCAGGGCCAGAAGCATAGAATAATAAAACACCACTTATTTCAAATAATTATGGATGTAAACTTTCTATAATAAATTACATTCCTTAAACCAAATCTATAGTATAAAGAATATTCATGCATATACAATTTTCTCCAATCAGAAAGAATTCAGGCATATATTTACTGACACCCAACCACAACCAGAATTACACAATGAACATGCAGTAGCTTGGGGATCATCTTTGTTTTAGGTAGGTTAAACTCGACAAGAAATACATACATTGATTGGAGAGGCTGCCAGTTGATGGAGGTGGACAGTTAACTTGGGCAGCCTATTGTCATGCACAGTAACAAAACAAAATAAAACTAAAACAACTGAAACAACCCTCTTATTTTAAACATGCGTACAGTATTTGTCAATTTCTCAAATTCAGTAAAGCATTTTATAACATTTAGATCTGATACATACTGAGTGACATGTGGGTTTTTTTTTTAAAAAAAAGATCCAGAATTTGTTGCTAGCAAGATGTTGTATAAATAATTGGAACTAAGAACAAAAGAACACTAAAACAGCCCGTTGTCTAATTAATTTAAAATAATTAACATATGCTTCTTTAATGTATCGACTGATATTTGAGAAAGTACAAATACTCCAGAGTACACTGAACAATAAATTGTGGCTGATTTTGCTTAGCCCAGTGAGGAGATATAGGGTCATACATTTCAGAATTGTGTCAAAATGAACAGTGCCAAAAATTAATATATACAGTGTTCAGTTTAACAGATCTATGTGAGTTTTCTTTGGGGTGTGGTTCACCAATGACATTGTTTAATATTTTTGAGACATTTTACTTTTCCATCGTTTGAGGACTCATATCCAGTTTAATCATTCAATAAGAAAATGCTAGACTTAAAATTCCCAACATAAACATAGTATTAGAAGGATTTTCATAAAGAACTTCATCTATTTAACTTCTGCTTTCTCAAGGCAAATCCAGACTTTCCCTTCCAGTATACAAAAGTATGCTGTGAACAGTCAGATGCCTGCTCTACATGTAACACAAACATGACAACATGGTTGTTCTGCCAAGTAATTAGCCAAAAATCATGGCAATTTAATAAATCCTTCCAAAATTTGCATAACAGAATTGCTGGCAAACTCTGTGTAAAATGGTGACATTTAAAACAGCATAGGGACTCTTTAATCTCCGACAAACATCAAGTTTTCCAGTGGAAGGATGGCATAAGGTTCCTTACAACTACATTAGCCATAATACAATGACCTGGTTATACAATAATTCCTTTTTGCAGATGAATGCGAAGTTCAGTCATTAATAATAATGATCAGTAACAATGATAAAAGTGGTAACTCTTTCCTGTGTTGGGCAATCGCATCTGACACCATGTAAAAAGGCATGAGCAGCCGCATTCATTGTTCAACCCTTTCTCTTCACTTGTATGGTTCTAAACTTCAATCAGCACACCACAAGAAATAAAAAAAGCAATCTTCCCCCAAATTGCCATGGGATGCGTTGCACTATGGCAAATTCTTAGTACAACATCAATAAATGGCCACTTGTAGAGGAACAGACATATATGAAAGGAAGCCCTAACTTTGGTGACTTTCTTCTTTCCCCATCCTTCCTTTCAGTATTCTAGCTATGATCCTCCTGTACCCCCAAAAGGATTTTGAAATACAGAAAAAAAGATGGAACAAAGCAGAAAGCTAAACTCAGGAACAAAATTCAATGATTGCCAGTTTTTGTATGTTTGCTTGCACGTAAACCCTGCTATCGTTGAGAACAGAAAGGAAGGCTAATCTTCAACAAATACAGGTTGAGTATCCTTTATCTTATGGGACCAGAAGTTTTTTAGATGTTGGAATGCCTATATTTGCATACATGTGCATAATGAAGATCTTGGAGATGGAATCCTAGTCTAATCATAAAAGTTATTTTTCACATATACCATCTTGTACACATATTTTTTCATAATTTTGTGCATGAAACCATCAGAAAACAGAAGTGTCACTGTAACAGCCAACTATGTTGACAATCTTAAATTTTGGAGTATTGTGGATTTCAGAATTTATGGTAAGAGAGGCTCAACCTGCATCTTTTCTAAGGGTAGTATGCTTTTGTAAAAAGCATCCATATGGAGTTTTAGTACATTTCTGTCAATGGGAGAATATTAAGCAGAAGGTTCAAGTGAACACTTGTGAAAACGAATTCATGATGATGCCGATGTGAACAACTGGGAGGACCAAACTGTCTCTTTTTTACTTTCATCTCTTTGAATTCTGTATAAGGATGGGTTGTGCCACTGATGTAGACATTCCTTGAGGATGCACCTAATGCCACGTTGCATCTACAAGTATGGATGGAATGGTTTCTTTCTAACCAACATGGGAAGAACTTCTCTCTTTTAAATGCCACCCATATACATTGAAGTAAAACCATGAGCTAACAAAAAATCCTCCTGCCTGCCCCTCTGTATTAAGGATGGCATTCTCACTCTCATTGTTGCTTTTCTACAACTGCCTGACTTCATACTAGCAGTGATTTACTCTGAGTAGCACAGAAGGATTCGTTAAAATAAAACACTGATGTTTGCAGGTGGCCAGGCACATGAATTCTTAGGACAACATATATGGAAACAGGTGTTAGATTTGGAGCAGTTAGTAATACAATTTTACAATATTACAATATTCCTAGGTGCCCAAAGCACTTCGCATATACCAACTGGTGATAATTCTTACAAGATCCCTGCTATATCAATTAGGAGCATTATCCACTCTATTGCAGACTGAGTAACTGAGGATGGGAGAAATGGTTGCCTACCCAGAGCCCTTAGTGCATTAATGACAGAGGTGAGATTTGAACCAGTGACTTTCTGAGTTACAACTGAGTATTTTGGCCAGCGCCCTGTAGCAGCAATGAACAATCTAAAATGAGATCTACAGTTGGTCTTTCACATTTGCAGGGTTGACTTTTACAGTTTTGATTATTCAGGGATTCAATTCAAATGCTCTCTCTAGGAATTTGTAGCTCTTCCAGCATAGCAATATGATCAATTACTGTTGGAAGTTCGCCACAGAGTCATAGTGGAAGACCTAGAGATTTTTGAGAAGTATTATCTCAGGTAAAATCATTGCCTTTAAAAATAGTTTTTTACACCGTCATAAGCATCCTATGCCATAACCCCAGTAAATGTGTGTGGTTGACTGTATTCTTCTTACATTACCACTTAAAATGGATCATGATATTTGAATGACTTTTATTTCACCAGTGTACCACTAGTAACAACCAATATGTGCCAGTTGCAGTAAACAATCAGGAAATTTATTAATTTCACAACAATTATGGTACCACTGGCATATCCAGTTCAGTCATTTTGAGAATTGAATGCTTAGTAGCAGACTGGCTTTGAAGTGTATGTCCCAAAATCAAACTAATGGATGGTAAAAATGAAGCACTGGTATAATCTACACTAGAAGGTGACATTTAACGGCCATCCCCTCTTTCCAGGAAATCACAGTTCTGGGGGGAGTGCTTGGGGACTCAAAACATTATAAGCACCCACACAAAAACTATAATTCCCAAGATTTTTTGGGGGTGATCATTATGACAGTAAAACTGATAGCAGAAAAAATACCAAATAAATATTTAATGTGTAGATATACCTTATATTTTGATGTGCAATTGAACACAATGTGGATATCTTAGATAATCTTCATAATGGAAATAATAAATGTCCCAGTGTTAATGTGATTTATATGTACCGCAAAGAAAAAAAATAGCTAGGTAAGGGCATGATTCTTTTCATTAGGAAATGCTGTTGATATTACCTGCTAAGACAGTTTAAGTGGCAAAAATTAACAGATTTTGTTTCACCGTTATACTTCCCTGTGATGTTTGAGCCTCTATCCTGAGCCATTTATTGAGAGTGTCAAAAATGATCTTGTAAGACATCACCTGATCAAAGTTTGATACCTGACTTTGGAGTATGAGAATCATAAACTTGCTTACGGTCTATCTGGTCTGCAAACACTTCCCCATAGATCATCCAATATGGCATGTAAAAAATATTTTTTGCCAGTTTCCATGAGGGCTCTTCATTGGGAAAGAGTATTGCCTGCCTTGCAACACCAAAGCTCATCAGAACAACCAACATAATTATGACAAAATACATCATGTCTATCATCTGAAAGAAAAGAAAAGAAGAGAGAGACAGAGATAGAGAAGAATATCTACTTTGTCCTGTAAAATCAGTGAAAATGTAAAACATAAGAATCAAATTATTAAAACATGTTCATCTCAACCTGTCACAGCCACTTGCAGTCAAAACATGTTTAGGATATTTACATTAACCTCTCCTTGATTATACCAGACTTTGGCTGTGAAAGTATTATAAAATGTCTTCATCTTTTAATATCAATTTGTTTATATCCCATTTGGACTGCTTAAATGACTATTTCTCCTATTTTCTTAGGAGAGCATTTTCCTTTCTTCGTCCCTTCCATGCTAATCTATACTATCTCCTTTCCATCCCTAAACCCTTCTACAGAATTAGTGCAATAGTTCTCAGATCTATCTGAATATTGTATATTATTTATATTTAGCAATGTTCTATGAGCTATATTCTAATGTTGGGCTCTGTTTTTGTTACTGATCTCCTGTTGTAAAAAAAACAACAAAAACCCAGGTTTAAGGTCTATTGTTTTGCCTCACTTGGGAATCCTGGATCTAGACCAGTGGTTCTCAACCTGTGGGTTCCCAGATGCTTTGGCCTTCAGCTCACAGAAATCCTAACAGCTGGTAAACTGACTGGGATATCTGCGAGTTGTAAGTCAAAACATTTGGGGACCCATAGATTGAGAACCACTGATCTAGATTAAGAAACCTAATGACATATATTCCTTTTGTTCATATGAACATTGCATATGTTCATGAATGAGGACATGTCTGAAGACATGCATGAAGACATATCGTAACAAATGTGGATGAAAGATTAAAATATGATGGCTTATTCATAGCTATAAAGCAAGCACTGCACATTATGTTTGTCGACTGTCATCTAAGCCACCCAATAAGAGTTGGTCTAATAGTTGAAGACATGTTAAACTTTGCACCCCATTCCATACTACATATTACGGCTGATGGAAAGGGCTCAATTTGATATACAAATTGTTTAATTACTAGACATCAGTAAGTAGAGCCGATTTTACCAAGCATTTTCTGTTTTCTTTAGGGCTACTCCACTGTCCTTGACAGCTACTTCCTTCCAGTTCCAAGCTCAAAATAGAATGTGACTGTTACCATTTCATTCACAATGTCTCAAGGTGTGAATGGAACGTAAAAATATACATAGAACGATCTGAGTTCTTTTTACAGAGTCACAAACAACTTCTGCCTATAGTCTTTCATCAGACAATTTAAATGTATTAGTTATTTTTACCCTTTGCTTTAGTATTATTATTGACTGCATCAAGGACTTCATCTTAAATAAATAAATAACAAAAAACCCCCAAAACCTTGGAACAGAACATTTCCGTGAAGATGCTGGTGGTGAAGCATAAAATTCTACTATAAGGAAGTGGAGAGACATAGTACAGAGGAGGACAGATGAAAGGCATGTGTATTGATAGATAGGTGCAAGGGTTTTGAGTTGCCTATAGCCAGGTTTAGCATCAGATTCAGAAGTTGCAAGAAACAAGTGTCACTTTCTATTCAACAGAATAGAACATTGTTTCAGTTATAACATGCAAAACAGAAAAGAAAGATGGGAAACTCTTTCTTACCATTTTCCCAATCATCATTACATATGGCCCCAAATATTTGTTCACCCCGAAGATATCAAGCAATCGGATATACCAGTAAATGATGTTGACACAGTATATAACACGACCATCACTCCTGAGTGGCAGATCCTGAAGGCGAAGTATCATACCCACAGAAAACAGGAGAATAGCAATGAGATCGGTAACATTCCAGTATTCTTGAAGCCATACTTTGACCTTCTGCAGCAGCTTCCCAGGTTCTGACATTAATATCTAGGGAACATGAAAAAAGGATACACCATAGATGGAGGAAACATATAAACCAACAGTGGTGGAAAGCATATAAGATACAGATTAAAAAATCCCCACATAAACTCTTTTCAGTTTCGGCATGATTCAGCAATTCAACATATGGACTGGGAATCAGAAGTGCCCACTCACATGCTGACTTCTGCAACATCACAAAGCAAGTCATGTATAGAACTGTAAGAATGAAAAACAGGTCAGCTCCTGTACCTTTAATGATTGTATAGAAAAGGGAATTTTAATAAATGTTGTTTATTACCCAATGGCTCGACAAGCAGCATCTGCTGAAACTCAGTCTTCAATATAACCAGCAAAGATACAACATTAGACATATCTTGGCCTTATGTGGCTCAACAACTTACCCAACCAGCCTACATTTTATAGAGTACGACAGAATTGTAAGGGCTAGGTCATGCTGTTCACAGTGGCATCAATAACTTTTAAATAGTTTCAGGCTCCTGGGTTATAGAGATCCAGCTGGCCACTTTTAGCCCATGGGATCTCTAAATCAACTATGACAGTGGGATAGGCTGCAGCACAGTGGGAGAGAACAGGCTTTGCAAGCAGAAGTTCCTTGTTCGAGTTTTTACATCTCCACATCTCCAGATAGGACTAGAAAAGAAATCCTGCTGCCAGTCAGTCTACAATACCACGCTACCCTGACTGCCTCAGTGGTCAAACTCAGTGTAGGACAATTTCTGACAACATTCTCTGTTAGCCTATGACAGTGATTCCATAGTCACGATAATCATGGACAATATCTGAGATGTGATGTTTGTCTCAGATATGAAATCTCACAGGACCTTCCTTGCAACATTGTTTTGTCTAGATCTTCCCTACAGACAGTGCCTAGAGTTTGGGATATCTGCATGAGGTAAGGGAGTAATAACGTAGCATGACTATATTCATAGTGGCAAGTATGTTCTGTGTAGTTGACATCTTTGAGAGTGACATCTGGCAAATAAAGCACCTGAAGATGCAATGGGCTTGGTTATGTCACCACACTGTAACATTTCAATGAACTTTATGGGCCTGGATCATCTTCTTATTCCTACTTTGCTGATTATATTGACTTAGTTTTAGTATTTTCCAAAAAATCACCCAATTCAGCAAGTGAATATCTCCTATCACAATATGCAAATATGCTTTTAAATGTATGAAATTGGGTTTGTACTTCTGTTTTGATTTAATTTTGAATGCAGTTTCCAAATATTGAATTCTGAAGCTGCAAAATATATTAATTAAGCAACTTTTTTGGCTTTCATATTACCCCAGGAAGAAGTTTATAACATTAATTGCAATTTTCAAATAATGTATAGTTATTATTTCTATTTTTTAAAATGGTGGGTATCCATTATTTATATCATATTCAATGTTAAGTTTTATAATATTGATTTTTTTACAGGATTTATATTACATGTATTCACCTGGATTCCAGAAATACAAAATGCCTACACGATTACTTTTAGAGTTATATTCTGTGAATATACTTAGATAGGCACTGTCAATATAAAATTATTTCCAGGCAGAATACAATAAACTATAAGGAAGGCAATAATACATGGAATAAAATAGTTCTTTGAAAAAAGTAGAATCTCTTATCACATTCAATAATGAGCTCAACTTCATGGAATCCTTTAGTGATGCTGAAGAGCCCTCTTGTGGTTGTAGGAAATATATTTCCTTCAGTGTTCATCGCTATCTTCACATAATTTTGATTAAGTGTGATTATAGAATGACTTGGAGAGGCCAGAGAACTGGACGAGGACTCTAGCGACACCAGGTTTGAATCCCAGCTATGCTATGGAAACCCACTGGGTGACTTTGAGCAAGGAAGGAAAGCCAAATCGCCTCTGAACAAAACTTGCCAAGAAAAAACTGGTGACAGAATTGCACTACAGTTGCCATAAGTTGGAAACAACCCAAAGAAACACTACAGCAATATCATGATTTCAGCAGTTACAAGTAAAATACTTCCGAAAAAAACATTTTTGATCAATGTCTTAAGATTACATTTTTATTTTCAATCAGTGTTTTCTGCAGGAAGCTGTAGACTCACAGAGTCAAAGAGTTTGAAGAGACCACAGGAGCCATTCAGTTCAATGAATTTACACCAGCAATGGGAAAGGGCAACTGTGACCTACAAACATTCCGAAGCTGTTTTTGGGGCCCTCAGATCCCCCACTAAAACTGCTAGAGATGGAGGGGATGTTGTGGCCTGGTCAGATTCTGAGTGCTTAGATGAGGAGGAAGGGAATGCTGGGAGAGATTAAGAGGGCCCAGAGGAGGCTGGAAGCAGCCCAGAGTAGGATGTTTTGGAATATCCTGACAGTTCCCAAGAGAAAGATGAAGGCAGTCTCCATACTCATGGGAATCTGCCAGAAGTGCAGACTGAGGGAAATGTGGGAGACTAATGTTTGTCAAGATCAAAGAGATTGGAGTTGAGGGAACAGGACCTGCAATTAAGACAGGATCACTTTTCTAAGGTAAGGAACAGGAGGCAGGTGCAAGAGAAATGATCTCATGGGAGGGATTCTGGCTTTTAAAAAGAGGTTCATGCTGGCATAATCGTTGTGAGATCAACTCTGCATTCAGGTGAAAAGCTCCCAGTTTCATGGGCCCTGTGATTCATGTATTCAAGTTTTCAACCTATTGTTGTGTTCCAGTCTTGTGAGGAATAGTTTTGCCTGCCTTGGATATATGTAACTTCTCCTGGAATATTTCAGTGTAATTGTTTTATAGACTTTAGTTGAATGGAATTTTGGACCTTTGGCTTTTATGGATTCCCTTTTTTATATGTGCTTGCTTTTCATATATTTAGCTTTTATTATACTTAGTTTTCAATAAACTCTTACATTGGATCAACTGGACTATGTGTGGTTTGTGGTGAAAAGAGGCTTCAGGGCTTTGGTGCAACAGGAGGGTACGCAGGTCCACTAGAATTAAAAATCAAGGGGTCCTATGTAATCTCCTCATCTCTAGCAGTTGGTTGACCCTGAGTTACATGTTTAACATATGAGCCTTGAGGAAATGAAGGGCCACCCCTACCTCATCTTTGAGGCACTGCCAGCCTGGATCACCATCATTTGGAATGATGTGTACCTCAAGTTGGAGAAAAGTGTTGATTTCAACATTGTCAAGACTGGCCAAAAAATGAAGAGGAAACTATTTGAAGCAACAAGGTAGGGTGGGTGTATAAGAATACAGAACAGTGAAGGAATGGCAAGGGTCTAGTTAAGACTGACACAATGACCGGATCTTCCTGGAGAGTTTTACCCACACTTTTGGATTTGCCTCCCTTTTAGAACAGATGCAGCAATAAAAGCCTGACATAAGTAAATTCCTCAAGTCAGGGATTTGGGACATACCTGTCTGTGTTTATGTGCATCTATGAGCAGATGTTACTTCATCAAGTATCATTCATGATAATACTGTGGATTTACACTTAGAAATAAGTAAGAATTGGGTTTGTGCAGTAATATCTGTGATCTCATGATACAGCTGGCCTTGTGAGGCATGGAGCCTGTACTGAGGAGTTTCTATGATGTTTAAGAGCATCGTATGAAATCAGGATGACAGTACTGGGGAATATTAAGTGCCCAAACTGCAATTTTCCTGATTAAATTTGCCCTGATTAAATTTGCCCAAAACTATTATTTGCCCAGTGAAATAAACATACATGTACTATATAGAAATGTGGGGATTTTTTAAAAAAATGTATATAAATATTTCTTTACAATGTATAAATGTTGTTTTATATATAAAAAGAAAAAAGTCTTTTTTAAAATCATAAATGTCCTTACCACAAGCAGAAAAGTTTTCATTCTGAAACAGGTTCTTGTAAGTGAACAGGGGAAGCAATTCTAACCATTTCCCCTCTCTTGTAATTTTACCATAAAGTTGGATTAAATGTATGGAGAAATGAAAGACCTTCAAGAATCCCCAAGAGCAAAGCATGTTTACACTAAAGTGCAGCTTTTTCATAAAATCAAGACCCTTGATTTTATGGGTGGCCTAAGAAACTTAAGGAAAAGGGGGAATTCAGCAGTCCTGATGTATGGACACTCTTAGTTCAGTCAGCAAAGGAAGGGGACAGGATTCAAGCCGTTATTAATAGCCCTATCAATAGCACATTGAACTTAAGCAACAGACAGAACTACATAAAAAGTCATTCCTTTACTAGATAATTCCAAAAAATATTACCTCTCTCATTTTCTCTATTCCCATTGTAAAAATATAAGCGATAACTATCCATTCTTGCGTGGAAGGCCAGCGTTCCATCTTCACCAATACAATATAATTGAATAACATCAGGTATCCAACATATGCCATCTGTGTTTTGAAAAAAATGTAAAAATATTCAGGATGCATGTAATACTTAATTCAGTTGCAATTTGGTGTTTATCAATAAAAAAACCCATTCTTCTCGGTCATGCAATATTTGGATAAACTATCACAAAATACCACTACACCTTTCCACATTTATTTCAGTAATGTAGACCATTCTTTTTGTAAGGTGAAGCAAGGAGGTTCCCAATTTCTTGAGGTGGTTTTCAAAATGCCAGTTCATACTACAGTTCACGACCAAGTTTATTTATTTATTTATTTATTATCAGAGTGCATCTATATAATAGCATTTATATTATTTTGCTTTCACTAACAGTCACCGAAATCCAACTTATGTTTTAAAACTTGCTATAAACATTTTGGAAATGCAAAGACCATCAATTGGACTACTCCATTTGTGTGAACAGGGTGAAAATGTTAGAACCACCCCTTAGTTGCTCCCACTAAGTTAGCATTTTTTTTTTAAAAAATGGCCACTGAATTCTAGATATTATTAAATTGCATATATATGGACTCAAGTACTTATCTTCATATAAATTATGTATGATTTTATTTGCATGGTCATCTATACTTATCCAAACTTAGTGATAAAATGGGCCTTTTCAAATTTGTATCATTAGAAAAAGATAGCAAAATGATAGTTGCTTCTTACAGTATAGAACCAAAATTTAACAATTGGGGCATTGTAGAATTCATAGATCTTGCGTCCAAAGGGAATCCATCTGTGTCTAGTCTGAACTTCTTCCTCCTCCTTCTTTCGTGATGATGACTCTCCATTGCTACGTCCCAACATTGCCTACAGTGGGAAAGAATGAGTGAAAAAGCAAACACAATCAGATATGTTCCCTCAACCTCCAGATGCCAAATCTACCTTCACATGACTATTGGATGGGACAACATTCAATAAAGTTTAAAGGCATTGACTTTTCCATCCAACAACAACAATCTAGAGACCTTTGTCCTGTAAAGTTCTAAGAAAACAGTAACACTTTCAAATGTCAAATTGCTGTTTGTAATAAATATTTTATCACTGCTACTTCAATAGAGACTGTAATTATAAATGTAATTCATGTATAAGTGTTTTTTAATTATTATGACACATGTGGCCTACATGACTATTTTGAATTCCCTGTTGCACTCCATTTTCCCCATTAAACTTGAATAAATTTATCATGCCTCACTAGTGTTAGGTGGAGCAATTCTGTCTCTGTTTTCACCACCGAGGCATTTAGATGTTTTTTTTTTAAAAAAATAAATTGGAAGTTGACTGCTGGACAGCAGATGCTTCCCTCCATAGGATGGGGGAAAGGGGAAGCTGGGTGTGAGGGATGTCGGCCAACGAGTTCCCCCCACTCCCAATCAGGCCACAATGGATTTGCCACAATGCATGGCAAATCCCATAAGCAATGTGATGTCGTTGCAAATGTCCTACTGATTTAATCCTAGGCAAATGAGTATATAGCCTCAGCCTTCTTTTAAGAAGACTTTTTTTTAGACATTTAAATCAATATATTAAATATACAATATATTAAATATACTAAATATACAATATATTAAATATACAATTCAAAATTATGAATACTGGTTAGGAGCCAGACGTAAGCACATGGCCTATTTATTTATTTATATTTATTTTCAAGCCTTTCTCCTGACATAGGGACTCAAGGCAGCTAACATCAAATATGACACAATATAAATTAAAATCAAAACAAATGAATGTAGGTATGATTTGGCACAATTCGAGGCTTGTGACCCATGTAGATAGGGCAATAGAATAATGACCAACTTTATTTATTTATTTATTTTATTATTTATTTACAGTATTTATATTCCACCCTTCTCACCTCAAAGAGGACTCAGGGCAGATCACAATGCACACATAAATGGCAAACATTCAATGTCATTTTCTAGTCAGGCTGACAGACAGAGGAATTTTTGGCATTTCCACTTTGGTGCCTGGAGGTTTGCTTGATTCCAACCACCTGGGGGGTGGGGCGGGGCAGGGGAGTTGACACTTCATCCACTATGACACTGAGTCATTTTGATCATATTTCTTTCTTGCTCTTTGACCGCTGGCATTTTTATGGTGTCGTACCTCCTGCTTTAAGTGGTCTCTAACTTCTCTACTCATAGCTCAGCTGTTCTCAAACTGCTTAAGTGGGCGGTAAGCTAGGCTGAACAGTGGGTTCTCAATCTGACTCGGTCTTCGAGCATGTCACCTTCTGGTTGGCAGTAATCAATTGCAGCTGGTGATTAATCAGCTGTGCTACAGTCTGGCTCTTTTGTCCTATTGATTTCAGTGGGTTTTTAAAAGTATATCTGAGACCGCATCTACACTGACTATTTAATGTGGCTTTGAGATGAGTTGAAACTGCTTCAAAACGCATGCTGCCAATGTGCACTGCAGGGTAGAACAAAGTGGAAGGGAAGTCCACAATAAGCGCTTTAATGTGCTGTAGGAGATCCCAGATTGTAGGACAAATTTGGCTCCGTAAATTGCAGAGCACATTGTAGACACCTGGCCTTACTGAAGTGCTTTGTAGGATTTGGAATGTGGAATGAGGGGCTGCTGGAAAAATGGTTCAAGGGCATGGGTGACTAGCAGCAGGCTAATTGGTCCCTGGGAGGTGTAATTGATTACCATCAGTCCTAATGGTGATTCCTTTTTCCTACCTTCTATTTCTCTGGAGCACCAATGCACATCTTTCCTAGAAATTGGAAAAAAAACCCCAATATAGCAGGAAAATGGCAATATCCCGTCCCTGATATAGAGAGAATACAATGAAAGATGGCAGATGGAATAGGAAAGGAGCTGAATTATTATTTATTTTATTTATTTACAGTATTTGTATACCGCTTTTCTCACCCCGAGGGGGACTGAAGGCTCAGAATGATGTAATGTGTGATGGGCCTCATGCTTATGTAGCCACATTTGGATTTTTAAAATTTACATGCTAACTATGTTAATCTGTCAATAACTTCAATTAGGATGATTGATAAAAGAACATATAAAGCACCTATCAATAGTGATTTATGGAAAGACCAATCTTCTTTCTGGAAGGCCTACCTGACATTTTGTTTGGGTCTTGGTACAATAATCCTGATGAAAGTACACAAGCCTATTTACAACATGGAAAGAGGCAATGCTGAAGGAATACTGTACAAATCCTGTCTACTCGTTACATCTTGAAGTTCTTTCTTGTTGGTCTACTCTTTCCTGCTTCCTTTATAGCCTGCCTCTCAGCCTCCACGGTTGCTTAGCAAATGTTTCTCCCCACTTTCCCCTTCTTCCTATCCATTTCTCCTTTTCTTCTCAAGTATGTCAACTTTTAATAAATTGTTAGAATAGGAAAATCATTTATACCTCTGTAGGCTGTGAAACAGTAACATCACAACATCTAAAAGTACTACACTTTTTTCCTGCTACGGTTCCCCAAGGTCCCTTCTCTGTCAACTGCATAAAGCTTGCTCACATCCAGAATACTTTGGGACATAAACCTTTTTTTGTTTAAAAGCTTAACATTTGGTAGAGGGAAAAGACCACAGAAAGACACAAAGGACACTGTCAGAGGATAGAGAAGAGGGGCCACGGAAAACTATGTTATTACTGTATACACAAGGCCAGGCATCACTGCAGCCTGTGCTTCTACATTGTGAAACCAGGAGAAAACATGGTATTTGGGGAAAAACGGAAAGGGGCTGGACAATCGCACAGGGCAATTACGATTCACTGCACGGTCACCCCATGAAACAAGCTGTGCTTATTAGATCTGAATAAGCACTTCATTTATTGATCAGAAGCCAGCAATAATTAACTACACTTAAAGCGGAACAAGCTTGTTTCAGAGGAAAGCAACCTGTCAGTCTTATGCTGGCTTAAGGTATTTTCTTCTTTTTCCCCCAGTGTCCAGTCTTGCCTGTATATGGCTCTTGTAAGTTGATCTCGTGCCTAGGGTCTTCTGCTTCCCTGATTTTAGGTTCTTGTAGGCAGTGCCTTCTTCTTGCGCACAGGCAAGATCATGGGGGCAGCTTTTGCTGAGAGCCTGCAGGAAACAGCCTCATTTTTGACAAAATGTAATAACGCAAAGCTACTTAAAAAAACGTATTTCAAAATTGAATATGGACACTTGGAGACCTGTCCATAGCAGTGGTGCTTTAAGTGGCTATAAAGTCTTAGGCAGCAGTGAAATGGGAGGATATTTTTTTTTAATACCAAAGACTTTTAAATGGCCTGATTTTCTCTTTTGCATCCCATATATTCATTTAAAATTAGCATTTAAATTAGTTTGGCAAAGTCTCAAAGAGACTTCTCATTGATGTTAAAGTGTTTGCCATCATCGGCAATTGTCAAAGAATGTGTATTCTAATGCTGTAAAGGGAATGGGGTGTGGGAGAATCAATCAGCAGTGATACTAAAAGGAGCCAATTTAATATTGTAAATTGATCTCTAGGTACCAAAAGTAAGTACAAGTTTCAATAGACTCTGAAAGATTTCAAAAGAGTCACTTTCCAGCTTCCAACCAAAATCCTGATTATCTTAAAGCTAGCCTAACAACTAGTTCCTTAATCTATCTGCAAAACCCACATAGAAATAGTTTCCACGTTGTTTCATGGCCACTTTTGATAGTATACATATTTTTAAGATTTTTAAATAATCAATTTCTGAAATAATACATTCACAGCTATTATAAACTGAAATGCTTTGTATTGGTACCTCGCAACAATTTACATTTTTTCCAGTATAATTAATTTGAGATAACTTCCTGGAGACTTGAAAAAGCCTGAGGCCAAGAACGTCTCATCTGAGCAATTTTAGGGGCTTCTCCGTGTGTGGCTAGAAATAAATGATCAATGTCAAGAATATAATCACATAATATTTCAGTCTGATTTTATTTGGAGATGATATGTTTTATGAGATATATGGATCAGAATGCTTGGATGGGAATGAAATGCAAAATACGATGTGTTTCGAATAAAAGCTGTAACTGGAGGTCTGTTTCCTACACTCATCGACTAAATTGAATGGAATATTATACACTCTTTTTTACTATGTTATGACAGTAGGCATATTTAAGAGACTAATGCGATAAGCACTTTTTCATTACTAATCATTTTACTGATGATAAATGACATATAAATTATTATTTTGACATCACTCTGAGTATTTGATCACTCATATACTATGCCCAAGCTTACATTTCAGTTAGATACTAAGGTATTAATAACAAGTAATCTTGTGTTTTGTTACAGCCTGGACTTTCCATAATTCTCCTTTCCCTGTTTTTTTTCTTCGTATCAGGAGCAACTTGAGAAACTGTTTCTTGTGTGAGAAAATTGGCTATCTGCAGGGCATTGCCAAGGGGATGCCTGGATGTTTTACCATCCTGTGGGAGGCTTCTTTCATGTCTACTCACGAGAAGCTGGAGCTGAGAAACAGAAGCTCACCCTGCTCCCCAGATTCGAACCACTGACCTTTCGGTCAGCAGTCCTGCCGGAGCAAGGGTTTAACCCATTGCACCACTGGGGGTGCCTTTCCTTTCCCTGATCACAAAATATGTATCCATTATACAAGTACAATACACCATTAAAGCATACACATGCATTATTCTGAATTCATTACTAATTTATTATTATTATTTATTTAATATCCTATATTGTAATACCTTTCACCAGTTTACAAAAATCTCTTTAATTTTAAACCATAAAAATAATGTAAACTTTCCAAAAACAAACAAAACAATTTCAACTCTTTTGACTTTTTAAACCATTAAAACAATTTGAAATCACATATGTGTGCATATTGGCATAAAATCATCAGGCTGTAATCTTCTTATGCTGTAATAATACATCAATATCATGCTGCCTTTTTAAAAATTAAACAAGCAACAGTTTTTGGATGAATTACAAATTAGACTTAACCTATCACAGCATGGCTATTGGGGTATTGTAAAGGTCAGAAGAACCAAAATACTTCCACAACATCTCACTTTTTCTCAGTTGCAGTTTTTCAAAGCCAGCCATTTCCTGGTCAGTGGAGAGCAGAGGGAGCAGCAGATAAATGTCCAACTCTTTCCTAGGTCTCCAAGGGATCTCTAGGGGTACTTCTTGCAGACACGTATATCATTACTGCTCTCAGCTATAGAAAAATAGAAGGACCTTGTCTGCTGCTCACCTGTCACTTTCCATTGACTAGAAGATGGCTAGGTTTTGGAGGGCAGGCAGCTGACAGAAGTTTGGTTGGATGGATGGGGTTGATGGGATGTTAGAGTAGATTTGGCTTGTAGCTACATCTCCTGGTGCAGAATCATAACCCCAAATCTTATCTTGGATGTATCCAGTGACTGAATCAAGTGAGCCTGAAAATATAATTATTGTATGACCACTTCATACCCTCATACCCATGGGACCCGCTTCTGTTGGAAGTTATTATAGAGTCGTGCAGACAAATTCCTAGAAAGAATATATCTCTAGGAATTTTCTAGGTCCTCCAGTGTGACTCAGTGGTAACTACTGGTCCATTTCAATAGGGTTTTCTATTATCCATTATGTCTTGTGTCCACAGTAAGTAATTTCAGGAACAGATCCCCCATGGACACAAGTGTTGTATTATATAAATTATAAATTAATGAAGATAGCTACCTTATATACTCATGTTTATGTTGATGTTGTGTGTAAATTAAGGGCAGATTTTGAAGCAAAAGTTAAGGACTTTTATATGAACCATGGCTAAGTCGACAGTCATTCCGCAGAGAGGACAAAGCACCAACGCTGCCTCAGGAAGCTGGCTACCCCTGGTTGCTGCCATTTTCCCATTCAGTCATTCAAAAAGACCAGAAGTAGTGCTATAGCGGAGAGAGTAGAAGGGATCAGGGCTACTTTTAGGTACTCTCAGGATGAACTAAGCTCTTGCCTTTCACCACTTTACTCAGATAAGGGGATGGTTCCTTTTTTTGACAAGAGTTAAGGTACCGTACTCACATTGATTTGAGAGTAAATCTACCCAGGTTCTTTTGGGCTAATTTCTAACACAAATTTCTAGACTTATACACAAGTACATAATATATACACGCTTTCTCAAAATGGGAGTGCTGTAAGTAGAAGCGAATTGAAATTCAGAAATTCCAACTGAGCCACTGAACGTTGTTTATTTTAATCGATAGATAACTTCTGTAGTGGGTGCCAGGAGAAATATTTGAAGGGTAGTGCTCCTTTAATGCATTGTGCTCCCTTATACATACAGACATGGCAACAGGAAAAAGGAATAATAATAACTCTTCCACTACTGTTTTCTCCTTACTGTGAGTTCCATGTCTTCCTCTTCCTTTTCTTTCACTGGTTTTTCGGGTTCTTCTGGCTCTTTCTCTTGAACTTGGACCTCCTGAGCTTGGGACATGTAAGGCATGTCATCTTTGTTTTTGAACTCCAAGCTGAGAATTGAAGGAGGAAGTAGAATTCCTAGAATTACCTAAAGCAATAATAATGATACAATAATCATCACAATTAACAGGTTAGAGTTATGCCAATTTCTCATTTAGATCCAAATTACACATGCTCTTTTGAACCATTCAGAAACTTGATATTTGTGCACATGAGTTTCAAAATGACTAGCACAGCCAATGTATGGACAATGAGAGGGATGGAAGAGGCAGGAACTGGTCATATAGTGCTCCCTACAAACCGAGTCACTCTTTAAGATGGAAAATATACAGTGCATCAGTTCTTACTAGTAACAAGACATAATCAAGACTTTACTAAACCATGTTATACTTATGTGGTGCAATCTTTTCCTCAAGTACAAACATTAATTCAATTTTAAAACAGCCCTGACCTTTAGACTTGAGTTTTTACGCATCCGGAGCCTCCCCATCCACATATCTGTGAGCAGCATTTGGCTGCAAGTGTGGGCAATGAAATCTCGATGCTTGGCTGCCACTGCCAGTTGTAGGCACGTGGCATTGCTCCAGTTCTTCAGCTCATAGGTCAACAGTTTCATTGCCAGTTGTTCATCCTGCTTGTAAGACTGGTCCAGCAGCTCCACTGCCAGCTGGCCAAAATCTCTGCAATACAGGGTGGTTTGGTTAGCTTGTAGAATCTGTTACATAGAAGGTAAATGTCTGATAACAGCTTCTCCTGAGGCTAGGACACTCTCCGACACATTTGACCTGAGAGGAATTTCAAATACTTGCTGTGTGCTTCAAGTCATTTTCAACTTATGGAGGCCCCAAGGTGAAGCGATCATGGGATTTTCTGAGGCTGAGCGTGTGAATTGCCGAAAGACACCCAGTTTGTTTCCATGGCAGAAAGGGAAATCAAACTCTGGTCTCCAGAGACAGATCAATGCTCCAACCACTACAGCATGCTGGGGATTCAGTTTTAGGACCTCTTCACTAATCGCCAGTGAAAGGGAAGGCGTGCAGGGCGGCACGTGGAGCCCTCTGCATTCTCCTTCCTCCCCTCATCACAAAGTCATTTTGAAATAGTCTGAGGAATAAGATTGGTTCCACCTCTAAAGATTATAACTCTTGTGAACCATTATGGTGTACTGACTAAAACACAAGGTTTGACTGTGGGAAACGTTAAGTACCCACTCAGTGAGTAGTCTTTAATATCTTTCCGAGTTAAGTCCACCAAAGTGATGAATCTATTCCTGGGTGATGCCAATTCAGTCTGGAGGTGGGAAACTTATCAGAGAAAATCCAAAAGAGAACAAAGTGGAAGAAATATGGCCAAATAAAATTAGCATCTCAGGGAGTCTAGGGACCTCTTCACATGGCCCTTTGGGGCTGTGCTGTTGTGCCAGCAATCACTGGTGAAAGGAAAGGCGTGCAGGGTGTCTTGTGGTGTCCGGTGCGCCCTCCATCCTCTCTTCATCACATGGAGGGGACGGGAGAGGGTGCTTTGGCACCCTTTCCATTCCCTCGCCAGGTGGCAGAAAGGGCAGCAACACACATTGCCCTGCCACCCTTTCTGCCATCACATGGGGAAATTGAAGAGAAAGTCGGATCTACCCAAATGACACATTTCTCCACTTGGGAGGAAAGTGGTCAGGGCCTGCTGCGCATCGTGTGATGGTGCATAGCACACCCTGTCCTTGCTGTGATTAAAAGTGGCAAAATAGGCCAAAAATGCCCTGTGTGAAGAGGTCCTTAAATACCTACATACATTTCTTTTTTTCTTTAACAACATTTTTTTTTGCTAAGCATTAGCTTTCACTGTCTTCTTTCTTCTCCCTACTATGTGCCTGCCATTATTATACCTGAACTAACCTGTTTCATATTACATTCTTGTGAGAGAATCAAATTCAGTAAGCTGTAACGAGGGATGAACATGTAATTTTTAAATGGGCAATATGACCATATAAAGCTGCAGAATTCAATGTTAATAGCATTCTTTCTCTTTTTTTATTTAACCTAGGCCAAATGCAGTGTTTGGTTGTGATGGGGGGGGGGGACTTAACTCAGATGAACTGACTGAGCTATTTTAGGGGCAAAAATTACATTCTAGTATGGGTAGCCCACAAAGAGCACATTATACCCACACTATATCATCTGCAGTGACTTTCTGGTGCTTTCTGGGCAGAAATTAAGATGATATTTTCTGCCAATAAATCTCTGGTCTTTTACAAAAACCTAAAAGTCACAATTTCTTTCATATACACAAGGACAAACCTTCTCTTCTGTACCACCTAGGTATCACATTCTGACAGCAGGCACACAGGAGTGTCCCTGATGGTTATCTTATGGCTATAGAAATCCTTAACCTATTGAGGTAAATGGATTACTTCTTTTGGGAAGCATGCTAAGATCTATTGTTTAGCTTGGTTTTTAACAGAGTAGTTTTAGAAATCTTTTAGATCTGAATAGGGTTGCTTCTCCATATCCACAGATCCTATATCCATGGATTCAACTATTCATAGCTTGAAAATATCACATACACATACCCCAAAACTTCACAAAAGGAAGCCTTGGTTTTGCCATATTATACAAGGGACCCCATTTTAGCATGACATTATACATAATAGGACTTGGGAGGGAGGGGATCCTGCTACCAAACTCTAGCAGCAATCAAGAGTCTACTTCGGGTTATATAAACTGTAATATCAAGTTATAAATGATTAAACCTGGAGTTGTGATTTAGTTCCTGAGATATGTCATCCACCATATCGTTCTCAGATGCTTCATGGGCCATGGCTTTGCAGAGTTTACAGGCCACCAGAGCCTTAGCCATGGCTTCCTCTCCATGCTGCCAGAAGAAGAGGGCCATCTTCTGTCGCTTCATCAATACAGCCCACACCATTAACTCATGAAAGGGGAAAGGAAAATGATTAATCTCAGGATCATCCAAATCAATATCCACTTCCTCCTCTCGCTTCGTGGTGGTTTTTCTTCCCCTTCGCATTGGAACGTCTTCCTGTTAAACATGGGAAAATGCCATTAGACCAAAACAGCTTCAATCACATCTTCTTTTACTCAAAAGACATGAAACTGCCATGCCACAGCAATACTTGTTCCTTATCAGCTTATTTCTTTTAGTTTACCCCAATCTAACCAATCTGATCCATTGCCTAAGAGTTAGATTTTGTCATAATGATAATTCAGATTTCTGTATTTAGTAAAAGGATCAGCATCTTAATTGTGTCCTGAGAGAAGGGTGTGATAATACTTACTGAATTATTGGATACCACCAAAGCCCCAAGTTTGGAAAACTTGGCCATACTGATTGAAATTATACTTCAATTTATCTGAACAATAATTAGAGGCATATAAACATCAGTTTGACACTAAAAATGAAATAGAATATTGATGGACAAGCATTTCTAACATTCTCAGTGCCTGCTACATGAATACTACATGCTCTATATTTACTTATAAATATAGAAATCTCAATGAAGTAAATTAGGCCACAAGGCTGCCAAAAAATTGAAAAAGGTTTCACAAGAAAGACCTCAATTGTTTATCTCCTTCCTTTCCTCCCCCTTCTTGCCTTTTTCTCCCCTCGCCCTTTAAACATCTTTCTTTCTTTCTTTCTTTCTTTCTTTCTTTCTTTCTTTCTTTCTTTCTTTCTTTCTTTCTCTGACTTGTTTCTTTTGGATTTCTGTTATGTATTCCAACATTAGAGCTTGCAATGAAATGCAGAATTTAATGAGGGGTCTTCTACTTGTAAACTTGCCATGATTTTGCTACCGCTTCTATCTTTTTCCTCAGCACAAATCTCTTCTAAAAACAAAGAGCAGCCACTTAGGATCCTTTGACTGTTACTCCCGGGTGTCCTATGCCTGGAAGCACACTGTATGTTCCTTCTGATCTCTGCTTTTCTCCAAATATTGTTATTTCACATGCCATTTTTGTATGCTCTATCAACAGATCTTTAGCCATTCCACTCCAGTGCTGGTTTCATTACTTTCCCACACATAGTAGGTGGAAAGTTTATAAGGGAGAGCCTCTGCTGTCCATGGATATTATTCATGTGAGTTTGACTCTTAGTCCATGGATAGTGGGGATTCTTTGTCTTGAGATGTGTGCTTCGTGTGCATGCCAATAATAATATGAGATAAGTTCAGGGTCATTCTGTGGACAGGGGAAAGTACAAGTGCTACTGACACCACCCTTTCCCCACCCAAGCACCCCAAAAGGCCAGAAGCAATGTCATAAGACTGGGTGGAGAAGGAGTCAATTCTTCTTTTAGGTTCTCTTGAATGGATTAAGCCAGGGGTGTCAAAATCATTTTCACTGAGAGCCTCATGGTTGCCTTCAAAGGGCAATTTGTAATTGTAAGACTGTATAAATGTAACTAAACATAGTTACATATATGATAAAATATCAATTAAAATAAGTAAAATCAAATTAATGGAGTCTTTGGATTAATGAATTTTATTATGAAATACAGTCAGTCATAAAATATTTGTAGGTAAAAGCTTATGAAAATGGTTTGAAGGCACTTACCTCCATCCCCAGAAGTTTCAGTGCCTTAGGCTGGAGACAGAAAGGGAAAAAGAAAAATTATATATAGTCATAGAGATAGATAGATAGATAAACACACACACACCCACCCAGAGCCGGACCATTCTCTAACTGTATTAAAACAAAACAACTAATAAAAATAGTATTATTGTTTATGAAATAATGAAATCACAGCACATTGGTCAGAGAAGCTTCTGGATACTGCTAGCTCATCCTAAATGACCACGGTCATATGCAGTTGAGTCTAAAAAAGGAATTCCTCTTTTCATGTGCTCACGTTTTTGATGTTATCTTTGAAAATTGTGGCACCCTTGGAAGAAGTTTTTTCTGTGCCTTTATATCAGGGTAGTACCCTAAAGGCACCCAATCCCTTCTGATCCTGGGAGTTAAGCAGAGTCAGCACTGGTTAGTACTTGTATGGGAAACTTCCAATGAACACCAGGTATTATAGTTATATTTCAGGGGAAGGATCTGGCAAACCATTTTTGAGCATTCCTTGCCTAATAAAGCCCTATAAAAGTCTTGGGGTCACCATAAGTGTGTGCTTTTATGAAACAGTTTTTTAAAAAACGAACAGAAACCATTCTTACTCTCTTGGGACCAAACAGGTTGTGATAGAGAGTTCGGAAGCGTTTTCGAGTATAATTACAGCGATAAGCTCCTCCCATCAGGTATTCAATCACGAGGCCAATATCAATGAGGCTTATCCTATAGTCTGGTGGTAGATTTCCCTATTTTTTCCCCAGTGGAAAAAAGAGACATATAGAACAAGGGTTTGGGGGTGGGGAAGAAAGAAAGATAAAGCTGATTATCATGCCTATGAAACTCTTACATAACTATGAGAGGTTTAAAAAACATTAAGAAAACATAAGAATATATTATTATGCTGGTTAATTAATTCACCTTAAAATAGATCCAACCGAAACCTGGATATTCACGCTTGGAGAGAAGACATAAATTAAATAAGAAGTTGCATTAAAAAGTCACAGTAACAGAAGACAACAAAGTCTCAGAACACAGGATTCAGACTCTTCTGAGCTGGAAAACGGGAGACACCGCTGCAGAACAAAAAAAGCATGAGGGCAAAGCATTTTCTAAAGTGTTTTCAGAACACAGACAAAGTGTTTTCTATGTCAGCCTATACCAGGTTTGTTTCCCTTTGAATGTGTGTAGACTCTAACAAGGGTTTCATCTCTCCCCGCCCCTCGTCAAACCGTTAGGATTATTTCCCCATTATTTATTCCTTAGGAAGAAGAAGGTAATTCATATAATCTGCTAAGCACCTTAAATTCATGCTCTGCACTTTGAGTGCATATAATTCTCAAGTGCTCCTGAGCTTGTAAAGTCAAGAACTGGAAAGTTCTCTCTCTGTTCCCGCCTAAATGTAGGTTCTACTTTTACTTCTTGGAGGGATGACCGTTTTTTAAAAAAAATAATAATCAAAGAACTAGCAATAAACTAGCAGTCAACAGTGAGCAAAGGAAAGCTTTTTGCTATTCATGGTCATTGCAGATCATCCACTTATAAAACTGGGGTGGTCACCAGGTGGTTCTGGGATGTAGTCAGTTATGGAGTTGTGAAAAAGAAAATTAAAAACAAACCCTGTATACCTTCCTACACCCACAGCTCATGTCAATTCCACTTTAAATAATAATTTATTTCTAGTGCCAAATTGTATTAACATTTTAACTTACTATAAAGTACTAGCTGAGCCAAAACAAATTACCACTGATTCACTTCTGAGAACATGTCCCAATCTCTCTGACCTCTCCTAAGACTGAAGTTGTCATGTTTCCATGTTGTCTTTGCAACAGAAACTCACTTGAAAGAAAAAAAAGGCTCAAATGTACAGAGATCTTTAACTATCTTCCTATCGACCCATGTGTGTGACTTTAATTATGTTACTACAACATACCCACTGGAGCAGCTTATACACCTTTCAGGCAGTAGATTGTTTCTGGCCCATTTTCATGGCTCACAAGCATTTCTGAGCCACTCTGTTTCCATTTCCATAAAAAAAACAATTCCTTGTAACCCTGGCAGCCTCCACATGCCAGTCTTGTGTTCTAGCAAATTGTAGGCACCCCAATACCCTCCTCACTTAAGGGCAAAATTAGAGGGCGACTTCCAGTCACTTCCCCTCGATCTGGCCTGGATATGTAAGGCTTCTGATTCTAAACAAAAGGGAATGCATGTGTATAATCTGATATACTCTCACTTAACCTTGGTATTTGAGATATATTGGACTGCAGTCCCCATGTTTTCTAGCTGACATGCTGGAGATGGCACCTTACTGAGAAAGAGTGGCACATGCCTCTAATTAAAATATTTGGAAAAGATTTATCAGGGCAACCTCCTGTTCCAAGTTTTACTTGTGTGCAGTTGATAGACCTATTGTGAAATAGAGTCAGAACCAGCCTTTAGACCAGGCATGCGCAAACTTTGGACCTCCAGGTGTTTTGGACTTCAACTCCCACAATTAATAACTGTTAAGGAATGGTGGGAGTTGAAGTCCAAAACACCTGGAGGGCCCAAGTTTGTCCATGCCTGCTTTAGACTGATTACTTTTTACTTTTTATAATAGTCATTTTAGTTTCAAAAATGCTGGATCCACCATTGAAGCACATACACTGTATATTTCTTCTTAACCAGAAGATCTACATATCCCTATTACCTAGTTTTCCTTTGACACCCACACCCATCCAATTTCCAGCATTTGCTGGACTACGGTTTTAAATTATAGTTACATTTTGTTGATGTTGCTCCCACTGTAATTCTAAAACATACTATTTGGAAAGCAATTCCTGCTAAAATCACTTTGCATACTGAAGATAGAGGACCAAAATTAAATATGTCAACAGTAGTATTGGTGCTAAGTTGTTAAACACTCAGAAATACAGTGCCTTGCAACTAGATAGTGGACAAAAGATTATCTACGTTCTAGTCATCTCCAGATGACTGAAACAAAACAAAAAACAAGAAGCTGAAATATTTGTTATATGAACATTAGAGGGCACTCTTTATCCATCAAACTCTCAATTTCTTTTTCCTTTTGTTTAGTTTGAGTGATCATTAAAATGATGATATGGGTTCTCATTACAGGTCAAATACTTTCCCAACATAATAATTTGAGGCCACCAATATTCATATATGAGGAGGATTGTCTTTATTAAGTAAATTGGGGGGGGGGGGGGTTAAAAGGGGAATTGCTATTCTGTCATATAAACTAATTAGAATAACCTATGACTGATAATGGATGTAGATTGAATCCAAGGTCTACCCCAGAAAAATTAGTAAGTGACAAACTCTGTCAAGGTTAGTCACTTTCTTTTTTTTTCTCCTTGTAGAGGAATATTTTCTGGGGCTCCCTTTTTATTTAGTTATTTGAATGTTGCACATTTTCAATATCTATAAGTGGAGCATATAAACCCCCCTGTATAAAAAAGGGAAACAAGATTGCCATCTATTCAGGTAGAAAATATGTGGGGCAAGTGTGACTTGTGAACAGCATATATTACCCAAAGACCATTTTTGAGACTCCCAATTTTTGGAAAAATAATGGGAGGAAGTTGGCTAAAACTTTCTTCCCTACAACTTCCTCATGTTTTTGTCTTTCACTGTCCCCCAATTTTTTTAGACCACAGAACCATAAATAAATAAATAAATAAATAAGTAAATAAGTAAATAAATAAATGTCTATTATGCTTTACAGCAAAATATTTCAGGATTATATCCAAGGAATCAATGTGCGCAAATTAAAATAGCCATATGGCAGTGCCCATTGAAGAACTGAGGTCCTGAGTCATTTATCTAACCCAGAAGGAAAGCAAAAATTCTAATTTACTTCTTTGTTAAAGGTTGACCTTTCATAGATCTAAAACAGCCAAATGAGGCCAAAAGGGTGGTGTGGGATGTTTACATTCAAACACATACACATACTATTTTGATACTAAAGTATGAAAAATTTTGAATTGTTCAAAAGTCTTTGTTTTGAGCTTCTTGAAGCTTCATGGGGTTTTTGTGTGTGTCAGGAGCAATTTGAGAAACTGCAAGTCACTTCTGGACTGAGAGAATTGGCTGTCTGCAAGGATGTTGTCCAGGGGACACCTGGATGTTTTACCATTCTGTGGAAGGCTTCTCTCATGTCCCTGCATGAGAAGCTGGAGCTGACAGATGGGAGCTCATCCTGCTCCCTGGACTTGAATTGCCAATCTTTTGGTTAGCAGTCTTGCCAGCACAAGGATTTAACCAATTGCACACTGGGGACTCCTCAGCTTCACAGGTGCCACTTAAATAGTTTATGCTTTCAATTTTTGACAGCTGTATTTGCAAGTATTGCAAAATTCCACAAAGAGGGACATATTCTAAACTTCAGGTTTAATGTGTGAGCTACTGTTCAGTGAAATTAAGGAGAGAGTAACATTTTATGCCTATTGAATAGGTAATACTTCAGGCTTGGCATCCTTGGTCCCAGGTGATTACCGTAAAATTGAAAATGTGCCTGTCAGGCTCTGAAATGCATGTGAATTAGAGTGCCTGCTTCAGAACAGTCATCTATCTCTGTCATGTACAGTGAACCATTTGACTGTCACAATAATGGTATGTACTATTAAGAGGTTATTTTCTAGATGCCATGTCATTTAAATCAATGTCAAGCTCTCTGATGGATTGACTGAGGAGGAACATATTTCATTCTCAGTATGGGACTGCTATAAGTGATCCAATATATTGTAGCCCAGCAGTCTTCTCCTTCACTATTTATAAAATGAAAACCATGGTTCTTGATGTGGAGCCATGGGAATAAGACAAAGGGAATACTGTTCTTATTACTGAATTTGAAGAGGTCTTCTTTGAAGCTGGCAGAGTGCTAAGTTCCATTAGCGTACTTACATGGAGGTCTGGGATGGAAATGCAGCAGGCAAATAAAAGTTACTGGCTTTGTAAGTCATGGACCCTTCCGGACTGGCCTCATATCCCAGGGTCTGGTCACAGGTTTTCTGTTTATCCCAGATTATCTGGCAATGTGGACTCATATAATCCAGTTTTAAGCAGAAAACTTGGGATCAGATCCTGGGATGTAGAGCCTGTCTGGAAGGGCCCATGGTTGTGGAGCATTTCACAGTGAGTTGGTCCATTGACTTGGCAGCAACCATCAGGCAGGAGAAGGCAGATATTATGTCGCGAAGGCAACTACTGGGTGGTAGGTACTGCAAGGGAACTTCTCAAGTGCTCTTTCCGTATGGCTAGTAAGTGCTATTTGAATCAAGTTGCTTCTGAATGCCATTCAGCCACTATTTCACCCTTGGTGGCAGCAGGGGACGTGCTGCCCAAGGAAATATTGGTGAGTTCTTTGCAAAATTTAAGAAAAATATTAGCTATGCTAGCATAAGTTCAAGATCCAGCAGTTTAAAAAGGTTCCATTCACACCTTCAAGGATCCCATTACTACTAAATATATATATAAAGGTATATGTAGAAAAGCTTCTAATAAGGTATAACTAAAGAGCTATTTCAACTTTAAGAAACATATCTTGCATGGAAAGATGTATTTGTAGTCTATAGGATGCCTGAAAATTATCTTTGTGAAGATACTTTTGGGCACTTTGTACTTTAGTTTCATTGCTATTGTCTCATTAGCTGATCTGGAACAAAAGGGATTTGACATATTTTTTTTAAAAGGCGTTCTCCTCAAACAGAATAGAAATAGAAAATAATGATGTTGCCAAAATAATAAATGGCAAAAAATGTTCATGTACTTTTTCTTTTTACAAAAAATGTACTACTTCTTTGCAGCTCACAGAGAAAGAAAAAAGAAGCAGCAGAAAGCATTATGCCTGAGTAATGGTATATGTCCAAAGAATTTATATTCACACACAATTGTGGGATACAAAGAAACTTTCCAACTTTCCACTTGATATTCTAGTTAATTTTTAAAACTTCATACGTGATAGCATAAAGGTAGCTCTCAACAAATCCATTTTACCTTATCATATTTAAATATTTTTCACCACCTTCCTCACCAATACCTGAATGGGTTCTTCTGTACCTATATACCTGTCCTTCCTCTTTTTAAATATAATTCAGATTTTACTTAAGAAAAGAACAGTATTGTGTTTGGTTTGTTGTTCTGTATGATTCTGTGTAAGTTTTCAGATAAAAGTGTACCCAAATTGAAAACTAGAGTTATGGAGAGATCTGAATATTTGGTGTATGTTTTCAGGATGCAAACCTTATTCTGTTATATAGAAGCATGGTCAGATGTAGAAGGACAACAATAAGATGCCAAATACCACCACCACTGTTTTTACAACTCTTTTTAGAGTTTTATTGCCCTCACATTGTTGTGTGTTGTCATATATGGCCGGATGTTTGTGCCTTCTTGTTTTTTTTTTAGGGTGGGGGGGTGGGGAAGAACAGATTCCATTTAATTTTAACTTCAATAAGGATTCGACCTATTACATTGTCCTCACCCCCTGATCTCATTATTCCTACATGAAGCAAAGATAAGCCCATCTGGATCATTGTCTCGCATGTGTTCCCATCCCCATCCTTCCACATATTGGGAGGGGGGGGGGGTTGTACTTTTGCAGTGAATAAGTTTTTTTGTACTTTCCTTCTATTCAAGTAGGTTTGCCCCATAGCTTAGAACCTTAATCTTCCTGGGATTTTAAACTGTATGTGGAACATATTCATGTAGAAAATGCTCACAGCTACAGTACATGTAGCTGTGAGCATAGAAGGATGGCTAAAGGAATGGAGGTGGGCCTCCTCCTTGTGGAGGAGGAGAGATTGAGGTGGGCCACCATGTTCATCAGTGCTGTCCCTTCATGGGATGGGGATAGGGGAAAGTCAAAGTTTTACCTATCCTGTACGGGATACAACTTTTTCCTTAACTCATCTTTAAAAACTGGCTTTCTTTTGCAACTCATATTTTAAATTGTTCCTTCATCTACAAACTCAAGTTTTGAATTCTGATACTAGGACGGAGACAAAAGTGCGTCCTTATTAAACTATACTGATTGTTTTCTAAATGGACGTGAGGATTTTTGATACACACAGAACATAATGAAACTGATAATATTGATATGAGTCAAGATCCACCATTATATAATTTGCATTGTTCAGGACTGGCCCACAATATGGAAATCGGCATCCAAAACAGTGGTGGGAATTAAAAAAAAGAGAAGCTAATAGCATAAGTCCACACTGCATGAAAAACACCTACAATTCTGCTAGCGAAGCACTCTACCCAAAGCATCTAAAATCACTGAGAGAGCAGCCCAGTAAGTAGTGAACTACATTGTACACAGAAAGTTGAGAGTCAATACAAGCACACATTGCACAAGTGAAATGGCAGAAGACAGGAGAAGGCTCTTACTGAAAGCTCATGCAAAACAAGGGCTGCCTCTAATGACAAGAAGCTGCCACAACATTACCTTCAGGCTACTGTCCATCTGTTGGACTCATACCTTTTTGACGTCTCTGACAAGATGATACAAAGTGTTGGATGGTCCATGTCTCTGAAAATGATCAACAACAGAAAAAAATCAAAATGTTTTGAACTTTCTCAAGAAGTCAAAAACATAGTCATGTTATTCTGGAATATCACTAAAAAAGGTTCTTGTAGTACTTTAAAAACTAACTGAGGCTTCATCTACATAGGCACTATAATCCACGATGAAGCTAGTTTGGGGTTGGGGTGTCTGAGAAATATACACCCCATCCGACTTCCAATACACATCCAGCCAGAAATAGTGTATTAAAAACTCACTGGAAAGTTTGAAATGACCAAGAAAAGCCCACTGAAGCCAAGCAGTGTTATGGCTGCTGCAGAGCAGGCATTCAGGATCAATATGCACAGGGTTAGCGCTAGAACATTTGGATGCAGGAACCAGATACACAGCTCAGCCAGAAGGTAAACAAAACCTTCCCCTCAAAGAGGAAACCACTTTTCTCTTCCTGTTTTGCCTTAAATTGCTGTATGCTGATCCTTATTAGATAGGTTGCCTCTTTGCAGTGCATCTTGCCAGAAGAGGTAGGAAACAATATTTCTTGCATCAGATTAATATACAATCTATGGATCTGTATGGACTCTGTCCCAGCTTCCAGCCAATTTCCAGGGTGCCTGTGTAGGCCCTCTGGAGTGAACTGGATCTCTTTGATCGACATCCTGAATTCAATTAAATGGTTGTGTGGAAGCAGTGTAAAATAATGGAATTGGTAAAATGAGCTTTCATAGACTAAGGGTGCATATATACAGTCGAATTAATGCACCTTGACACCACTTTAACTGCCATGGCTGAATGCTATGAAATCATGGGAGCTGCCATTTGGAGAGGCACCAGAACTATATGGCATTTTGAGTAGAGTGTGGAGAACATGACTGGCTCTAATGCAAACTGGTCCGTTATCCACACTAGTTGATTCCATAGGGAAAGGGGATGGATCAGATCTGTATCAGCCACATATCTTTCTCTCCTTCTAGTTGGTAACATGGGCACCTTTCCTAATGGCCAGGAGCTCTCTAGGAGCTGTACAGGTCTTTGGCAATGGGGAAAGAGACGGGAAAAGGAAAATAGCAGCTGAACTGGTTTCAGCCTGGCTGGATCATGTAGATTCCACCACATCAGTGCTGTTACTGATGGGTGGCCATTTTCTAAGATCAGATTGGAGTACAGTATTGCTGCTCTGGACTGGATACAGAGTAAGTAGCCTGTATAGCCTAAAGTGGAGTCAAACTGCATTAATTTTACAATGTAGATGCATCTTCTGTCTACTTCCCTCGATGCATCTATGAAAACTTATGTCACCAACTCCATTGTCTCACTTTAGTCTCTAAGGTGCTACAAGATTCCTTTGCACATTACCTCAAGAAAGTTCTTCAAAACCAAGCACAGGATATGTTAAACATCTCAAATCTTAGTGCATGGCTCCTTAGCACCCTATTTTCCAACAAGCAAACCATTGATACCATGACAACTGCTTATTTCAGCTGTCTTTTACAACAAGATCAGTTTTTCCCCTTATTACATGCCACCATTTTTTCTAATATGACACCACTGTTATTCTTAAGTAAATCAATTTGAATACTGTCACACAGTCTAGTTTTAGAGGTCATGGTCTAAAGCAACATTAGCCAAAGGGAAGAGACATTGAGGGTGCATCTACACTGTTTTGCACCACTTTAACATCCATGGCTCAATGCTATACAATCATAGGATCTGTAGTTTGGTGAGGCACCAGCACTACAACTTCTATGATTTCATAGCATTGATCTGTGATAATCAGAATCAGAAAGTCATGGTTCAGTTTACCAGGTGCCCAAAGTATCTTCATAATTGTGAAGCAATATAGATTAGTGGTTTGCAACCTGTGGGTCCCTAAGTATTTTGGCCTACAACTCCCAGAAATCTCAGCGAGTTTGCCAGCTGTTAAGTTTTCTGGGAGTTGAAGGCCAAAACATCTGGGGACCCACAGATTGAGAACCACACGTATAGATGTTCCTTCCTTCATAATGTTTAATTAGTATATGTTACAGATGAATCACAAAGTGGCAAGTTACTGCAAACGTTAATAATAGGATACAAGTTTTCATGTGTAAAATGTCTACATAATTTATTTCTCTCTCTTTCTAGAGACCTCCAGCAATGATGGTTTTATAACTGAATAAAGCACACAGACTCTCAACCATCCCAAGCATCGAAACTAGAAGTAGAAATACAGTCATCAAAGTTTCAGATATTTAATTATTTTTCTTCCATTATTCTACTTGGCTTTATAGTGGGTTCTTGCCCCCTAGATCAACTGAAGTTGCCCCACTCTGCTACACAGACAATGCCCTTACTTACATGATTCCTTTTTTTTAAGGGTGTACGTATTTGTGTATGTACATGCATATGAATAGGTTGGTGAAAATACTACCTCTATATTACTCTGCACATGTTGCACCGTTCCCTTCCTCACCAGTGGCAAACATTTATGCCATTTTCAAAAAACCATAATTGCAACCTGAAAGGGACTTCTTCCACTAAAACAAGGCACCATTCAACATGAGTATTTACTTTTATCCTACAAAACGACAGAAGTACTAGGAAGTATTGTCATACTGTTAACTTTCAAACAGACTGCTTTAAGAGCAGAAAATTAATGGTGACATTTTAATAACAGAAATTACAAAGGGCAGTGTTACAATTTGCACTGGGAGCAAATAATTAACAGTAGTCTAACTATAAAACTATGCAGCTGATAGGTCCTGGAACTTTTTTAATGCTGAAAATTGCATTTTCATAACTCTTATAGGATGCAGACAAAGATTAACTAGGTGATTCATAGTGAGCTTTTCCTAAATAATGCTTTAAGGCAATCATAACACTAACTTATTTTAGTAAAAGTTTTGTTGGGTGAATTTCTATGCACCATTCTAATGGCTGAAGGAAGATGAAACAAACAAACATAAAATTTATTTTAGCTTGGCCCTACCGTATTGTACAATTCCTCTAGTCTGGAGATGGTGAGAAAACGATGCATGCTTACTCCATTCTCTATGAGTAATTTCACAAAATCCACTCTGTCCAATACCAAGGCATCCAACATTGCTTGTTCAAGGGATCCCACCTGACAAGAAAAAAAGGTAGTTAGATTGTAATCATGGCTCCATATGATTTCCTCCATAACTGCAGGAAAACCGAGCTTTAGTACCTTTACCTAATGGCATAACGGAGGGAGATGCCATTTAAAAAGTAATAATACTAATAATAATAATAATAGAAATAAAACTTTATTTCTAGACTGCCATCTCTCCCCGATGGGACTTAGGGTGGTTTACACACACACAAAAAGGCAAGCATTCAATCACTCGGGTGAACACAATCGTATAAAAATAATACATAAGAAAGCATAGTAATGATGAAGAATTAAGCATTATGATGAAAAATAAACCAATCTAATAAGACATAGTTAACTAAACCATAAGTGGACATTACAACAAATATCCTAAAAAGCAATTTGAAATACAATTATATTAAAAATGGCTGGTGCCAGTGTTCATTTTAAAATGTATCATGGTAATAATACAAGTGGGACTAGCCAGCATCCCAAGTAGTTAAAGTGCCTTAGTCCCCCTACCCTCCATACGCTAAAGTGCATAGGTGCATTTTTAGAAGTTTCTTAAAGGAGAGGAGGGTGGGGGTGTTTTTTCTCCTTTAGGGAGGGAGTTCAAGAGATGGGGAGCAATCACAGAGAAGGCTCCTCTCTCATTCCCACCAGCCGAGCTTGTGACGGAGGTGGGGCCAAGACAAGGGCCTCCTCCATTGACCATAGTGCACTGGATGGTCTCTACAGGGAGATGCAATTCGACAAATAGCCTGGATCCAAACCATTTAGGGCTTTACAGGTAAGGAAAAGCACTTTGTATTTAGCCTGGAAGAGGACCAGCAACCAGTGGAACTACTGCAGCATGGGAGTCGTCCTCTCACTATACGGTGCTCCAGTTAGCAATCTGGCCACTGTTTTCTGCACTAATTGAAGTTTCTGAACTATCCTCAAAGTCAGCCCCATGTAGAGAGCCAGTGGCAGCCAGAGGAGCTGACGTAACAGGCTGTTGTATGCTCTCTATACGCCACTCCGGTGAGCAATCTGGCTCCCACCCACTGTACCACTTGGAGCTTCCAAGGCAGCCCCATGTGGAGTGCATTGAAGTAGCCTACTCAAGATGTAACAAGAGTGTGGACTATTATGGCCAAGTCTGCACTGATTATTTTATGCTGTTCAAAGCTAGTTTCCAACTGTGGCAGCCAGACAACAAACTCCCACAAAAGGGCACAATAGAAAAATCTTAATGTGCATCCAGTGCTTTGTGGTTTGTGTAATCGCCACCTGAGCCTCAAACTGGTTCCAGGATTTCCTATGTAATCATCTGCACAGTGAAACCACTTTCTTCAATATCGGATTGAAACTGCATTAAATGGTCAGTGTAGATGGGGTCTCCAGTGAAGACTGCCACAAAGAATTCATAGAGTTTCAATGACCTCTTCCTATCTCTGTAATTCCACAACACATCACTCTGGCTTGTTTCCTGCTTCCAAAGCACTATGCAGTTCTCACTAATTTTAAGCATTACAAAATGTATTTGGAGTTATTTCAAACTTCAGTTCCTTATCTCATGCATCCTCTTTTACAAGCCACCATTGACCTTCCTAAAGGGTCATCTCACCTGATACATTATCTACAGTCTTTTTTCAGTCTCTTCATCTTTTACCTTATCCTGGAATTTCTACCATGGTTTTACATCTAGCCAAATTGTCAGTATTTTTCCTTTCCCAGAAATGGGGATGGAAACTGTTTTCGCTTCTGAGTAACTGACCCTGATCTGTTAACAGTGTAAAGTGTGCACTGTTGAAATACAGTTTGCTACACAAAAGCTTCTGTCATAACAATTTCTCTAGTTTCTCCACAAAACTTTGTTTTCTACAAAGGAAAGTAGATTCCTGACCTGTTATGATGAACTTTCTTGAGGCCACTAGATGGCAATATTTCCTTTAAGAACACTGACATTAAAACTTGTTTACCTCACTTGACTCAGTATGTGGAAAACCCTCTTTCATGATTATGAAATACCCTCCTTTCCACAATATATTGAACATTATGCTTGAAGTGGTGTGGATACAGTACCGGCCATTGTTGCCCATAAATAAAAATCTGGCTGCGTGCGATGTCTACTCTGTTCCAGGCTAATGCCAGACTCAGTTGATCCGGAGCAGAAGCATTCGCTCCTGTGCAGAGAGATAGGAAGTAATAAAAACATTTTATTAAGTAATAGGCAGTGAAATACATACTCAGGAGAAATGGTGGAGGGAAGGTAAATACATAATGCTTATAAAAAAATCACAATATTTGTGGCTTTAAAAACATAACTAAATGAAATGTGAATAAATCTGGACTCTTAATATCTAAATGTTTCTTTTGGAAGTCTCTTTTTGGAATGAGAAGTATTATTAGACTACACCAGCCCCTGATGACACAATGGGTTAAACCCTTGTGCCAGCAGGACTGCAGCCCAAAAGGCCAGTGGTTTGAATCCGGGGAGCTGGGTGAGCTCCCATCTGTCAGCTCCAGCTTCTCGTGCGGGGACATGAGAGAAGCCTCCCACTGGATGGTAAAACATCCAGGTGTCCTCTGGCCAATTTTCTCACACCAGAAGTGACTTGTAGTATCTCAAGTTGCTCTGACACCCCCCCCCCCACAAATGCACACACCCAGAATAGTGCCTAATATATATACCTTTCAAGCATTTTCTTTAGATAATACATATTTATGTTATTTTCACATTTTACTTTGTACTTTACTCATCATGGAAATATTTCTTTGCCTGGAGCATTACCCAGGAAATTTAAAGAAGCATGATGCTCAAAGGTAGCAGTGGCAGTTCACTTTATATATTAGTTTTGAAAGTCTGAATTGCATAGGCTCACACCAAAATGTGAACCATGTTCCTCTTATTCCCTAACTCTGTGAGTTTAAACTAGACTGAGAATCAGGAATTTTAGAGTGCCTCACTCCTCTGTTTATTCCTTCCCAAGATAACAAGTGTATGGCAGATGGGTGAAAGCTGAAATAAATAGTGTCTTCCTTTCTAAAAATGAAAAACCATGTTTCCACTCTCTTTTCTTTCACCATCAGAAATTCTTAAACACATGTGTGCACGTATGCATGTGAACCATTCTACTTTTATATCTAAATATCATACTAATTACCTTCACTAAATTCCAAACTAAATGTTTGGATCGCAGAAATTGGCCACATCATCAAATGTAGACATCGGAACCTCCCCCTTTTACTTGCCTAACATAATGAAAAACCTACTATAAGCTGCACATGTGCAGACATGCCCAAACAGATTCATTATGATACTTCTTTTGGTTTATGACTCCCAGCATCTCTGGCTGCTAGGGAGTTCTAGGGGCTAATAGTCTAACTGGCTAAAAAAGTCACATTTCCAAACTCTGTACAAGCTCTGGGCTTGAGGATCCAGAAGGAGAAGCCGATGGGAAACGTGGAAAGATTATTTCAGGCCAACAAGGGATCAAAAAGTGAAATCAAATGAAAGATGACAAGAGTGTTGATGTGGATAGAGTATCAGTCATTGCACTGTAATGAGACAATGTCAAATGTCCAGTATTTCTAAAACAATTACATTTCTTCAATGGGCTGTATAAAAGAGTTGAACTTCCAAGACACAAAATATGTGTTTTTAGATAACTATAGTAAAAAACAACAACAAATAAACAGAACTTGAGAGAAATAAGCAAGGAAATAAAGGAATAGCCTACTTTGCCTGCTACAGCGGAATAATAATGAAATGGTAAAAGTACAGCCTCAATCTGTTAAGTCTTCAAGAATCAAATTGAGCATTGTTATAAAGGAAGAAAAAGCACTGAAAAAAATATTGCGAGAAAAAAAAGCTAATTTATTTATTTATTTATTTACTTTATTTGTATACCGCAGTCTCTCAGCCCGTAGGCGACTCAGTGCGGTTTACAACCAGGAGCTAAATTACAAAGGTTACTTGGACTATTTAGACTATAGCTCTCAAAATCAAAATGCAATTCTTTCAGGTTCTTTTAAATTGTAGCAAAGAATCCTTTATTAATCCAATTTTTATAGAAGAAATATTGTTTCAGAAGTGATCCATGACTCAAGACCTAGAAGCTAGGCAAACATTTAGGGGGAGATAAACAACAGGGGTGTTATTGTGGAGTCTGTTACAGACCCCCATGCCACACTGAAGATCCGGATGATGCCTCCAAGAACAGATGATCAAATATTCAGAAAGGAGATATATAGTAATGAGAGATTTTAACTATTTTGATATTCAGCCAAGAATATATGGTACAGCAAATTACTCCCTTGCCTTGCAGACAATTTCATTGTCCAGAAGATAGAAAAAGCAACAAGGGGATCAGCTATTTTACAATTCATCCTAATCAACAGTTTATTTCCGTGTCAGGAGCAACTTGAGAAACTGCAAGTTGCTTCTGGTGTGAGAGAATTGGCTGTCTGCAAGGATGTTGTCCAGAGGATGCCTGGATGTTTTGATGTTTTACCATCCTTGTGGGAGGCTTCTCTCATGTCCACACAAGGGGAGCTGGAGCTGACAGAGAGTGCTCATCCATGCTGTCCCTGGATTCGAACCTCCAACCTGTTGGTTTTCAGTCCTGCTGGCACAACCAACAGTGACATCCTGGTAAATGAGATGAAAGTGCTGGGTTCTTTAGGTGGCAGTGACCATGCTCTTCTATAGCTTATTATATAGAAAAGGGAAGCTAAGCACAGTCAGACATGTATTCTACATTTTAAGAAAATTTATTTCACTCAACTTAGAGAAACACTGGTTGTGATCCCATAGCCATGAATACTAAAAGTGAAGGGAGTTCATGATGGATTGGAGTTTCTTAAAATGAGATAAGAAATATTGTTCCAGAAGCAGAGGCGGCCCTAGGTAATTTTCAACGGTAACCAAAAAGTATTTTGGCGCCCCTCCCCAACCAATCATGATATATATTTTCTGTTCGTCGTGGGAGTTCTGTGTGCCATATTTGGTTCAATTCCATCATTGGTGGAGTTCAGAATGCTCTTTGATTGTAGGTGAACTATACATCCCAGTAACTCCACTTGCCGCACTTGCTCCCTTGCCTGGCCCGCTTTGGGTCCGGAGGCGTGCCTGAAGACCCCGGCGTGTGCACCAAAAGTCACCTCTTCTCCTGACTTTCTCCTCAGCCATTGGGAAAAAGAGAGAGAGAGACAGAGGTGGAGATGCCCACCTTTCCTGAAGGTAGGCGCAAAAACAAAGGAGGGAGCGGAGGTGGGAGATACCTCCAGCCGGAGGGGCTCTCTCTCTCTCTTGGTCCCAATGGCTGAAGAGAAAGTCAGGAGAAGAGGCAACTTTTGGTGTGCATGCTGGGCTCTTCAGACATGCCTCTGGACCCGAAGCGGGCCAGGAGCGGTGGCTCCGCCCCTTGGCCCACCCGCGGATTGGGGACAGGAGAGGAGGCGGGTGGAGCACCGGGGATCAGGAAAGGGAGCCTGTCATGGGGAAGGGATCGAACGCGGAGAACGATTGAGTGCCGGCTCTGCTCGCGCACCCGGTGGCCGGGTGGAGCAGGAACGAGAGGGGCTAGGTGAGGCTCAAGGGCCCGGCCCCTTTGGGAAGAGGATCGCCCGGCACCAAGGCAAGAAAGCCGAGGCTCCCCGGACTGCTAGGGCTGTTGTGAGCTGAGGGGGTGCTCCTCAAGTGACGGTCGAGGGGCATTTACAGAGGCGCTTCTGCGCCCCTGGCAAAAAAAAAGTGTTCTGCGACTGCTTACTTCGTGTAATGGACGAGCCGTCCAGAAGTCAAAGTCAAGAAGTATTTTTCCATTATATGTCAAGGATGTTTACACCTGTGAAGGCACAGAAGGCACGACTGCATGGAGTGCCGTTACCTTCCCGCTGAAGCGATATCTATTGATCTACTCATACTTGCATGACATTTGAATGCGCAATTTATGTTGCAAAACTAAATTCCTCTACCTATTTTAATCTAAAATTGGTTGTCCAAACAAACAAATAAACAAACCAGCAAAGCAAGCTACTAAAGACTTGCTATAGAAATGTAGCATGTGGCAGCAGAGCACTTATGTCTTCTTCAATGTATTGCATATGCTACTCTATGATATCTAGTTTAAAGCAGGATTTTTACAGATATCATTTCTACTTCATTTTGCCTCTTCATATTTAAATGAATCAATCAGCTATGGATTCGGGTGGACAGGAGGCCTTTTGGTATCCTCGTCTATGTTCCCTTTAGATTTCAAGAGGAATGAAACCTGATTAAGGCAGAAGAGCTGCTCTGAGAACTATCACATGGTTTCTGTGTCGTTGCTAGGATACTCGGTTCATTTGTCTATCTGAGTTAGAAAGCTGCCTTTCCTATCCTGTAACTCCTGGATGGATTTACATCACACTACTTTTACATCACAGAAAAGCAAATTTTGCTGCATTTTTTCAAATGGGTACATTTGAGCTTAGTTGCTGGCTTAACCCACACCTACAGTCAAAGAGCATTCTGAACTCCACCAATGATGGAATTGAACCAAATATGGCACACAGAACTTCCACAATGAACAGAAAATATATATCAGTGATTGGTTGGGGCAGGGGGGAATACTATTTGCTTACCGTTGAAAATTACCTAGGGCCGCCTCTGTGTATATGTTTAGGTTGGAGAAAAGAAGGCTGAGAGGGGACATGATAGCCATGCTTAAATATTCAAAAAGGATTTCTGCTGCTCTGGAGACTTGGGCATGAAGCAGTAGATTAAAATTGCAAAAGAAGATTCCACCTCAACCATAAGAGCTCTTTGGTAGTGGAACATGCTGCATCAGAGCATGGTGGAGTCCCCTTCTCTGGACGTTTTTAAGCAGATGCTGGATTGCCATCTGTCAGGGGTGCTTTGATAGTGTGTTCCTGCATGGCAGGGGGTTGGACTGAATGGCCTTTGGGGTCTTTTCCAACTCTGATTCTATGATAGGTTCAATTTAGTGATTCTATGATAGGTTCAATTTAGTTTTATCTAGGATATAAGATGGAAAATATAATCTGCCTACCCCCTTACTAGTGACCAGCATCTATGTAGAGTGAGAAGATATATAAGTGCAGCACAGAGTATCTACTTCAATATTCTATTAGGCTAGCTTAAAAACAAACAGTGAAAGAAACTAATATTGAAAATGCC